TGGTGATGAGCTGTGCTGTTACAAACCTGGGTGTGTGTATAGCACTGTAACAGGATGTCTGTAACTCCTGGAGGACTCCTTGTATGGCTCTGCCCTCTCCAGTGGGCACCAGAGTATGTGGGTGCCTCCTGTGTCCAGGGGCCGTGAGCGTAGTGACCGAGTGGGCTGTGTCATGGGAGGATGGGGTGGTGGAGCGCAGCCCCGGAATGAGCTGCAGCTTGGTCCTTCTGTATCTTCCCGCAGCCCCCAACTCTGCTAGCTTCTCAGGCTTCTCCTTCTCAGTGTGGGAACCTTGGCACCTCTGCCCAAAGGAGTGGAGCTCCCAGCTCTGCCACGCCGTTTGCAGAAGTCCCAGAGCACTTGCTCTGGCTGAGGCCTGACTGCTGGCCTCCAGGGAGGCAGCAGTGGGCCTGGGGTCCACCGTGAGCTGCCTTCGCTCTCAGGAGTATCCTGATCCAGAGCAGGATGATCCCTCAGACACTCGCACCATAAATGTCCAGACTGAGCCACTTTGGAACTGACCCCTGCAGACCAGGCAGGGCCGCCTTCCAGGGAGGGCAGGGTAACCTGAGCTGCCTCGGCCTGCAGGTTACTTCAGGAGCACCAGCCATCAGCTGATTCCTGGGGGGCATTCATCATGCCCCCAGCCCGCTGGGCCACAGCTATTTCCAGTCCTGTGGAGAGAGCAGTTTATGTAACCAGCTGGAAGCCAGGTCTTAGGTTGAGGGGTCTGGGGCAGGCCAGCGTCTCTGAGGGGTGGAGGTGTGGGGGTGCTGCATGGACAGCCAGTGGCAGCCTGTCAGCCTACCTTTCCGCTCAGCCCAGGGATGGCCTGGCCTCCCTTTCGTGAGTTAAGGCCACCAAACAGCTTCTCCCTCAGCCCCTCAGCCCTGTCCTCAGAGGGTGAAGTAGCATCTGCTAGGGCCCCCGTTCCCACAGCCACTTCCCCCTTCCTGAGCTTGCGGGGTAGACACAGCTGGGGAAGCATTAAACTGGGCTCAAGTATATTTGTTCACACCGTGGCTTTAGATGGGTCTGTAAGTTTACCGCACCTTAGTGTCTCCTCTGTGAGATGGAAGGACATTATCTCCTTTTAGGTGTGGTTGGGACCATCAGACTTAAGAGCACATTCCAGGGAGTGGATCGCTCAGGTCTGAACCCTGGCCCTGTCTGTCTGTGCGGCTTGGACCAGTTACTTGAGCACTGCCTGCCTCAGTTTCCTCCTGTGTAGAAAAGGGACAGCAATACCACCTTCCCACCTGAGTTCTGGTGAGAATCCATGAATTTGTATGCATAAAGCACTTAAGCAGCTCCTGGCTGGAGGTCAGCACTGTGTAAGTGTTGGCTATAATTAGACAATGATCGCAGATTGCTTTCCTCAGCCTTGGCTCCTAAGGAGTGCTTGGTGACAGGTACCCGTTATTTTTAACTTCCTTCTCCTTTGCGACCTTAATTCCCTCTTAAAAACCCACCTTCACTTAGCCTTGCAACTCCCTCCAAATACCCTGATCTCTCTTCTTTTGTTGCCAATCCAGTAAGGGTGTGTACAAATTACATTTGTCCAACGTTTACCTTATGAAACATTTTGCAGGCACTTCTGTCTGGCCCTCACAGCAAACCCAGGGAGCAGACAGAACAATCCTGTCATAAGCGCTCATTTTGCACAGCCAGGGACAGGGTGTGACCTGTCTTGAAGCATCAGCTGCTACGGGGTGTGTCCAAGCTCCAAGCAGGGTATTCTGACCTCGGGCACCAGAGCACACCGGATGATGCGGCCAGAGCATGCCAGCTCCGGGCTGCCAGGGCGGATTAGCGCAGGAGCGGGCCTCTGCTTCCGGTCTCAACCCTGGGAGGGCCTACAGCGTGGGGGAGGGAAGCCTCCAATCCTGGGAGCCCCGGAAGTGCTGTGTGGTGGTTCCCTCTACTGGACATAGGTGGTACTGCTGGCTCTTAGAAGGTAGAAAAATGGCTCTACCAATAGTCACACAAAACTCCACCCAGGGTTTGCTGTGACCAGAGTTCAAACAAACAAAAATCTCGAAAGCTCCGGCCTTCCATCGAGGTGAATTCTAGGAGAGGAATGTCACATAATAAGTGTTGCCCGGGAAAACAGAGCAGGGTGAGAGGTTGCCGAAGGGTTCTGAGGAGGTAGCAGTGTAACCGGGTCTGAGCACAGTGAGGGAAAGTGCCACCTGTCTAGGCCAAGGCCATGGAGATGGAGGGAGAGCCGGAAGGTGCTGACATGCAGAGATGACGGGAGCACTGGCAAAATAATGAGGCCAGTGTGGACAGGAGCAGTTGGGGAGGGAGCCAGCGGCTTCCACCTCTTTGGTGACCATGCAGGCCCAGGAGAGCAGTCCTGATGTAAACAGTGAAGTTGTAGCCAGGCACGGTGGCACACACCTGTGTTCCCAGCACTGGGCAGGATGAGGCAGGACAATGACTGAGAATTTCAGGCCAGCCTAGTTTCAAGGTCAGACTGCACTACATTTTAAATTCTGTTTCTTCACCCCACCCGCCCAGTAATTCAGCATGATCCGGCAGAAAGAAGGCTGCTTTTATTTTGTTTGTTTTTGGTACCGGGGCTCGAACTCGGGACTTCGCACTTGTGAGGCAGGCGGTGGCACCACTGAGCTAAATCCCCAGCCCGAAGGCTGCTTTAGGAATTGGCTACTTTGTTTTTCCTTCCGAGCAAGACTGTCACAGAGCCTCACTATTTCAGGTTCATATACATCCATGACCAGTGTCCCACTATGGTCAAAAAACTCAGCGATGGACTTGGTAAACTTGGCTTCCTGCTTCTGCTTTGTTCTCCCACTGATGTAGGTCAGCTTCAGGATATATTTGTCATCAAACCTTTTGCCAAATAGCATCAGGATCCATCCCTGTAGGATCTTTCCTGTGAGCCATAAGAAAGTTGCTCTTCTCCTTATATGAGGTATAAATCATCACAAAATATAATGTGGCACACAGAGCCAAAACTGGCTTAGACTCCGGAAAAGGGTGTATATAATCCCAAATCCAAGCCACTATGGCAAAGAAAGAAGAGATGGTACAGATGGTGAGGCGATCGGTGATTAGGCCGAAATTCTCCACATATTTGTACTTTTCCAGAAGTACCTTTTTGGTAGAATCGTTCACTGCAGATCCATCTCATCTGTCAATTTTTAAGGGCTTATCATCAACCTTCCACTTATCCAACAAGCCACAGCGGCTGCTGCCTATTCTGATACTAGGGCCACTGACAACCCCACTACTGCCTCCACCACCATTTCTCCCACCCAGGGCCACTGCCATCTTGCCAGCCTCCATGTCTCCAGACTGCACTACGAAGTGAGACACTGTCTCAAAACACCCAAAACCAGGACAAAACACAAAAAGTGACCCTGTGCTGCCCGTGTGCAGAATTTTTACCACATCCTGTGAAGTGGATATTTCTGGCATGCCCTCCACTGTGCAGATGGGGAAACTGAGGCTGGGGAAGGTAGTTGTTGTGTGGCTTTCTCAAAGATAAAAATATAGAGTCACAGTTCAAGGACTTCAATCCAGGTGTGCCTGGCTCTAGGGCCCACACCCAGCTTAGACCCCAGGTTTTTAACCATATATAACACATATGTAAAAAAATAAAAGGCAGAAGGCAAAGCAGCATTTAATAGCTGGGCATGGTGGCACACACCTGTAATCCTAGCCCTGGAGAGGTTGAGGCAGGATTGCCACCAGTTTGAGGCCAGCCTGGACTACATAGTGAGAGTATGTCTCAAGAGCGGGAGACCCCAAACCAAAAACCAACCAAACAATACCACCACTTCATGCAAAAGGCCACCAACGTATTAAAATATGAATATTTATATGCACAGACAGGCTGTGAAGATCTAAGGGGGTGAATTGTGCCTTTCCTTCCACTGTGGTCCAGGGGCACAAAGAAAGATGACCCCCAAACCCAAGGCAGGAGAAGACATCCTTAATATTTATAATGACCAGGCCTCACACTCAGGCACTACCTTTTGGTTTATAATCTGTCTTCATAGTTGTGCATTTGGTTTTCACCATACCATTTCTCAGGGAAAGAAACTGAGTCCCAGGGAGACCACTACTGTGCCACAGATAGCCTGGACATAGCTGGGACCAGGACCCATAAATGTACATACAGAGTCCTCCAGCCATTATGGAGGTCCTCCAGTTCTCAGACAGGAAGGTCAAAGGGCTGAGACCAGGCAGCCAAAGACTGGGTGACACGGAGGAGCAGTGTCCTAGCCTGCCAGCAGAGGGCGACGCCGCCCTGCCGGCCTCCCAGGCCAAGTCC